GTTAAATACTAAATGGGTGCTAGTAAGAAAAATGTTACACTAATATCATCACTGTATAAAGTGTGGTGTGTGTATGTCATGAAATTTGGGCGTCTCACGGTCAATGCATGAGACTCGAGAGCCCTGATTACAGCTATTTATATCGAGTACCCTGATATTTGCAAGCACAGATAGCATTAGCAGCTATCATCACTGTATAAAGTGTGGTGTGTGTATGTCATGAAATTTGCGTGTCTCACGGTCAATGCATGAGACTCGAGAGCCCTGATTACAGCTATTTATATCGAGTACCCTGATATTTGCAAGCACAGATAGCATTAGCAGCTAGCCGTAGCATTTCTAGTGCAGCCTGGAGCACTTCAAACAGGAATTTTACGTTGCTTCTGCTTGAATAAAACAGTCATCTGAAACATATTTATACTCTAAAAGTTTATAAAAATGTTCACACAAACCGCTATGAAACTTTTGTGAAATGAAATGCGGTGATGCCACTTCTCTTTTCAGATTTCCTCATGTTTTGAAGCCCTACATGAGGCTGGCAGCAGGTGTCACTGTGACACAGAGTGGAGGAGGAGAGGATGCTTGCAGTTTTGGTGATGAAGACAAATCAGTGGGGGGTGACACGATTTTAAACACCTGCAGCATACAGTGTTGATTTTAGAGGTTTGTGTTTTTTTTTAAAGCCACGCCCACAATTTTGTCTGCATGACCTGGGAAGGTGACCTTTAAACAACAATAATTAATACTTATGTATTAGTAATTGTAACAAGTGTTAATGCCATCTGATAAGAATAAAATGAGGAAAGATGCCTGTCCACATGCTGACAGCRTCCAGGCTACTGACCAGAAACTGGTGGCTGGGGTCTTCATAGTGTTCCTCTATGGCCATGGGCTGGACCTGAGCGTGGGATATGCAGGAACAGTCCTGGGGAGGTGAGTGGGGGGAGCACAGGTGAGACATGCCCTAACAGGAGGAGCAGGGACGGAGACATGGAGTTTGGGAAGTGAAGGGGAACGCACTACCTTGTTGGAAAAGGACAAGGCAGGGGAGCAAGCATCAGGAAGTACAGAGCATAAAGACGCCCGCAGGACATTTTACAGGTGAAGAAGAGTGGAAAGACTGTTAGAGCCATTAGATCAGCTGGATGACTCGATGTGTTCAAGCAGAGCCAGGAAGTGAACTATGAGCATGTTGTAATTAGATGAGCTCATTAGAGTTCATAGACGGACAGATGCACAACATCAGTATCTGATACTTTCCCATAATACACATAAACTCGTAACATTAATTTGGTCAAAATGTTTCATTTTCAGGTTTTACATTGTAGGACATAATAAAGATATACACATAATACCATTTATATAAAATACAATATGGTACAGTGCAGTATGATGCAACACAATGCAGCACCACAGGATCCAGCACAATGATTACCACATGATTTAAACTGATACGTAACTTTGAAAAAGTATTTTTTGAAATTCATGGTGGAATCAAGCAAAACCATCAAGATGCTAACACCACAAACCTTTTTTTTTTAAACAAACAGGCTCTTACCAGGTGGTATAATTACAATGTTACAAAACAACATTCAAGCTGTTATTTTGCAAATAATGACAAGACCAGCTGATTTGATTCAAAATGATAAAATACAAGACAAGAATAAATGATGCAATAAAAAAAGCAATACAAGACGATACAAAACAACACGAAATGATACGATGCAAAACTTTCCTTCTTTTCTGATCTGTACTTCCTGCTCTATGTGACCTTTAGCATTCTTGGCAATATTATTTATGTCACAACACAAACTGACACTATGAATTACAAACTATATGAGCTGATTTGAAGCAATTAAAGAGGATATAAAATAACACAAGTCAATACAATGCAATATGAGATGATAGAAGTTGATGATCTAATAAAAAATCTTCAATCCTACACTCTCATAAAAGAACTAGCTCGTTGTCAGGTAATAAATCAGTAAATATCAATAAACTACTGATCGTTTTCAAGCTTTTGAGATGAGGAATTTGAAGGCAATGGCAACACAACACTGAAAATTTCTTCAAAACGACTCATTTTGCCAGCGCCAGTCACATATAAGCACAAACACCTCGTACTGTCAAGCACGGTAGTGGTCTATAATAATAATTTTCAATAACTTTTCAAAATATCAATTGAAAATGTACATTTTCAGATTTAAACATATTTTTGTGCAAACTACATATGGACAAACTCATTCTTACCAAGAAAGACATGGAGTCCTTGTGTTGAGTGCAGGGTCATCAGCTCAGGGTCTGCAGGACTGTGGAGGAGGGAGGACAGACAGGGTGATGAAGAGCAGCTGTGGGACAGGAGGAACATGTAAAGACTGTCCGACAATAGGCTCACCTGGCKGCATCAGCTCAATTAGGACCCTCCGAGAAAACAAACCATCAGCGGAGGTAAGCGGGAGGCCTTAATCTGTGCGAATATAACGCCATTTTAAATAAAAAATCGCTGTTTTCTTTCGCATTTTACTTGGAACGGTTGTTTTTTTTGTTTTGTAACAAAGGGGACTCCTTACCTTCGCCCCCCTGAAAGCGCTTCGACGTAAACAAGTTTAGAAACACAAAGAGAGGTCGGACATTTTAGAATCCGTTTTATTTCCAGCTCCTTCGCTGCTGTTCCTCCTCAAAATTATAATGGTTGAGGGAAGAATAAGTGACATTATGAGCTAATATTGTTTAACATACAAAAAAAAATGTAGCTCCCCCTCGTACCTTCGAGGACTTTTAATTTGACACTGAGAACCGGCGCCATTCGATGACGAAACGACTGGAGCAGCAGCACTGATTGGCTAAGCCATGGAGGAGATGCGTCAAGGATTCCGCCATATTGAAGAGGGATTTTATGATCTGGATCTCAGTCATTTAGGTCAGTCACCCTGAGGAAGACTACTGCTACTGCTACTGCTACTGCTACTACTACTACTACTACAACTGCTACTACTACTACTACTACTACTACTACTACTACTACTACTGCTACTGCCACTACTACTAACTACTACTACTAATACTACTACTACTACTACTGCTGCTACTGCTACTGCTACTACTACTGCTACTGCTACTACTACTGCTACTGCTGCTACTACTACTACTGCTACTACTACTACTACTACTACTACTACTACTACTACTACTGCTACTGCTACTACTACATCTACTGCTACTACTACTA